GACTAAATGTACACGCTACTAGATTTAATATTTAAAATTTTGCTACAAAATAAAAAGATTTTCGCTAGCTCTCATGATTATTGTCTCATTTGTGTTACATTTGTGATTACTGTTGGAAATATTTTGATAGCTTATTAACTTATCATTTATGCATGATGTGATAAGTGAGGGAAAAAATCACTTTGTACTGCAATATTTCCCTACACCCTAAACTAAGGCCCTCTCCATTCAGTGACGTTTTCTCCCTCTTCATGTCAGTCTGAGATGAAGTTTTGGTGAATAGTTCTGTATTAGACCAAAAGGATTTAGCTACTTATTCATTTCTGAACTTACAGTCATATAAGGAGAACAAGAAATGTGTATTTTGCATAGCTTTTCTTGCTAGTGATGCGGCAAAGAGCAAGTGATCAGTCTCATCAGCTCCCAACAATGCTTATTATTTGCAGAAAATGAGATGAGACAAAGCTGAATAATTACAAAAAGCAGCTCCACTATTCCACTGAGTAAGAGGCAGGAAGGTCTCAATATTGCAACTCTATTTGAAAAGCCAATCCATTTATTGCTTGCTAATTGAGGGACGCTCGTAACACACTGGAAATAACTCAAAATGAATTCCAAATACTTGGATGCTTGTTGCAGAATATTTCCCCAGAGAGGGCAGCTGCCCAAGCACCTCTGCAACAAATGCAGCCTCTACATGGCTTCTTTACCATGGAAAACAAGAACTGCTGCTGTGTTTTGCTGAGGCTCAGGAGGTCTTTTACAGAACCACAGAATTACAGAATGGTCAAGGCTGGAATGGACATCTGCAGATCATCTGGTCCAAGCTTCCTGCTCAAGTAAGGACCCCCACAGCACATTACCCAGGATTATGTCCATATGGCTTTTTGTCTCCATGGAAGGAGACACAACAACATCTCTGGGCAGCTTGTCCCATTGCTCAGTCACTCTTACAATAAACAAGTACTTTCTGGTATTCAGACAAACGGGGTAGCTCTAGCTCACAGCTGTGCAGCAGGGCCAGGGCATTACTGGTGCTGGGACTCGGCAGGTGCAGAGGATGTGGAGGAGATGGGAAAAGACATGAAAGTACAACAGAATGTGAGTTGGAGCTATTTATTGAATTTCAGTTTCAGCTGTTTGAAGAAGGGTTAGAAAGAAAACAGGAAATTGTTTTGGCTCACCAGAAGCAAGAGGCAACATGACAGAGGAATGCAAAAGCAAAAACTGGGTAAGCAAAAACGGGATGAGTGCAATACCCTGTGAGCTACGTGGCAGTGAGGAAGGAACACAGCACAGTGGCTGTGACATGGTAGGGGCCATGCTCTCTCCAGCATAGGAGCTCACCCTGCACAAGGCCCCACCACAGGCTGCATTTGTGCCTGAAGCTCGGAATGACTCCAGGAGAAAGAAAGCAGGATGGCCTCAGTGCCTGCAGGGTGGGCAGAACTGTGGGACAGCTGGGGAGAGCAGGCCTCTTGCAGTTCTCTCCAAGCTGAGGTTAAGAACAACCCCATCGATGAGTTTACACTGATACTTAATCTTGCCCTTGCATTCAGTTTTAAAATGTGAGGTGGGGAAGCCACTGCTTACGAGGAAAAGAATGGTGTGGGCAAGCTTCTGGCCACTGAATGCTCTGAGTGGCGAGGCCTGATGGGAGAAGAGGGGAAAAAAATTCTCTGATCTTTGTACAACATATAGAAGGACTTAACTGACTGAAATATTTCATGCTTTTATGGTCAGCTTGTAAGACTGGCATTGTCAGTGCATTGTATTTTCTCCCCATGAAGTGTAGCAAGACACTGCAAAAGAAATGAAATATCGCTGGAGTGTTGCACTGCTGGTAAGGTTGTGCTGTATCCAGCATTAGCTCTGCAGTTGTGTTCTGGACATCTTACTGACGGGATACAGGCTGCTCATCAGCACTCATGGGAAGCACTCAAGTCCCCTGCTACACTACATGCAATGTGCTAGCAAACTGCAGCACACCTCAAAGAGCAGTTCTGCTCCAGCAGCTTCAGAGATATTGCTTGTTTGCTTGTTTGTTTGTTTTTATTTTGACCCTTAAAATGCCATCTACTTCATTTTGTAGAATTTGTTTTGAAGTGGAAATAGTTCAGCCAAGAAAATGGGAGAGACTGAACAGCAGCAGTTCTGAATACACCTGCTCAATAGGGTTGGCATGAAGTTATCCACATTTCTGCAGATCATGTCATGACAGTCTTCTTTCATGGCTAACGTTCCTTACATATATTTATCATTTAAAGTGCCATATCAGCTTCACGTGTGAACTTTTGAGAATTTTAACATTTCTTTAAAAATCAATGTTCCCCTTTCCTTATCAACTTTATTTGTCATGTTACGAGTTTTGCCTATAAGCTACAGCAACATATTCCTGTTGCTAAACTCATATTCACCACTGTGATTATATGAAAAAACACTGAGATTTTTTTTGTTTGTTTTTGTTTTTTTTTTTATTCCCAGCTGTGAGGAATTCTGGTTGTTCCATCTATGGTAAAAGCTGTAGAAACTAATTGATCTGTAGAAATTCACTGAACATCCAGGAAAAGCAACCAGATTTTCCGGTAGTTACAACTTAACAGCACTCTGTCTCTGTTTTTTGCACACTGAATAATTCCAAATCCTGTTAGAAAACCCAGCTGCTGATGTAAATCCTATCAATGTTTTTTTATTTCATACCTGTGGAAATGGGGAAAACCAGAACCATGTCCAAGTTGAACTCTGTGGTACTCAGACTGTGGATGATGTCTTAGCCAGAGAATGTTAATATCCAGCTGGTTTTTGAAATGGTTTATGCTATTTCCTTCACACTGTTTCTCTGTGTTCACTGTGTGAACATAATTTTCTTGACAAGAAGGGATGGGTGGTGAATAGGGTGATGTTCAGAGACAGTGCTGTGGGTGCTTCACATTGCAGCATAGATTCTGAGGTGCTGCTGGCCCACTGCTGGGGAGCAAAATTACCGAGGCAGATTGTACCAGCATGGTCATCTGCTCTAAATTTGAACTGCATTTCAGAAACAGCATTGTAATAATGCTTTATAGGTGGTAAAATTGCTCATAAATTGCTGAAATTAGCTATTTTTGCTTTCCTCTCATATTTCGGCTTGCAAAAAAGTGAAACAGTTACACAGCTAAATAGGTAAGCTCTTTACTTGTTAGGAAACACATAGAAGATGTTGTTATAGGCCGAATATTTCAGCCCTTGCTGAGATCTATATGGCAGTATTTGATTTATGACAGATGTGTCCCAAAATAGCTTTCTTCAGAAGTGTTAAGCTGAAAAGGGAGTCAGTGTGACTTTTTGAAGCACTAAAAATAGAGAATCGTGGCTGTAGACTTAACACTGACTGAACAGTTGCTCTCATCATTGTCAGCAGCCATCAATACTGCCCACCATCTGAAATCCTGCACAATCACACCTGCACACCTGCGTAAGCACAGGAAGAAAATTTCCACAGCAGATTAAACTTAATGTTTTTTCTGAGTCAGTGGATGGTAATACATTTGGACTTTGTTACTAGGTGTTAAACTTTTCACCCAGCGAAAATTCTAGCTATGTAAAAGGACTGGAAACAGTAAATTTTGCCTGAGCACTGTTTTAAAAGACCCTACCATGCAATATAGGAAATGTCCAGCCTGACCTTCTCATGTTTACAGACTGCTCTTTTCCTGGAATAGTGTTAAGATACGCTGAACAAATGTAAATACACACAAATTCTCATGAGTCATTTTAAACTAAGACTGATTGAAATGTGATAATTGCTGATCTGCCGAGAGGAAAAGGACTTTAAACTTGTTAATAATTAAGTTTTTGTGATCGTCACTGCTTTCCAGGCACGTCCACAGCATTTTTATCTTTTAAGGAGTTTTACAAAGACAAGCAACCAGAGTTGACTCACATGTGGAATTTAAAGTGAGAATGGGTTTCATGGCTTCTCATTGAGCTGATGGCTCATGCTGTCTCATGTGACATACCATGAGACAAAGGCAGTGCTCAGGGGCCACGTCAAGGCCATGTTGATGCAGTGGCCCCAAAATTGGTCTGTATTCTTCCACTTAGACCTTTGTTTGATCAGCAAATCCTAAAGGCTAACATGTTTATCAAAACAAAAATAAGCTTCAGATACTGAGTTAATTCCACAGAATTTCACAGCTTTTAATAGGAAGGAAGGAAGGAAGGAAGGAAGGAAGGAAGGAAGGAAGGAAGG